CGTGGATGGCAGCATTCCAGGCAGGTTTGGGGTGGGAAGGATGGCCCTGGGAGGTGCCAGCCGAGATCAGGGCTCACATTTCACGTGTTCCTCGTGCTGCTGGTTTTTGGGTGGGTCTGCAGTGACTAAATGTGTCCTCACTGGGAGGAATGTGGCAGGTTGAGGTCGGAAATGCCACCTTTTGTTGGAGTGGGGGCAGGGGTTGTATCTCTGCTGCATAAATTTGGTCTGGTGTGACAGGAGGCTGTGTCAGGGGAGGATTAGGGTGGATCTCAGGAAAGGTCCTTCCCCCAGAGGGTGGTTGGCACTGAACAGGCTCCCCAGGGCAGTGTCACAGCTCCAAGGCTGCCAGAGCTGCAGGAGGGTTTGGACAACACTCTGAGGGACAGGGGGGATTGTTGGGGTGTCTGTGCAGGGCCAGGGGTTGGATCCATGATCCTTTGGGGTCCCTTCCAGCTCAGGGTGTTCTGTGTGAATCTCTCCCTGCAGGGAGGGCAGGTGCTCCCTGGTCACCTCCTTTGGTGTCTTCAAGTACATGGCCCTGTACAGCCTGGTGCAGTTCGTGTCGGTGCTGCTGCTCTACACGGTGAGTCCCAAACCCCTGCCCTCCCCCATCACCTCCTCCCTGCTGCCTTTCAACCTGCCCCTGCTCAAGGCCCTTCTCCTCCCCAGCTCAACACCAACCTGAGCGACTTCCAGTTCCTGTTCTTCGACCTGGTCATCACCACCACGGTGGCCGTGCTGATGGGCCGCACGGGGCCCGCGCAGGAGCTGGGCGTGGAGCGTCCCCAGGGTGCCCTCATCAGCGTGCTGGTGCTGGGCAGCCTCCTGCTGCAGACAGCCCTGCTCATCACCGTGCAGGTCCTCAGCTACTTCATCACCGTCTCGCAGAGCTGGTGAGGCTCAGGGCGCTCAGTGGAGGAGCTGGTGAGGTTGGACACGCGGCTTTAGGGGCGTCGAGTCCACCCGTGCTCACCACGGAACCGCGTCCCCAGGTGCCACATCCACACCGTCCTGGAACCCTTCCAGGGGTGGGGACTCCACCACCACCCTGGGCAGCCCCTCCCAGAGCTCCACGGCCCTTTCTGGGAAGGGGTTTTTCCTGATTTCCAACCTAAACCTCCCTTTCTTTAGGGATGGGAAGGATATGGAGGAGCCGTGGTGCGTGTCCACCACCACCACGTTCACCACTAACCCAGGTGTCACATTCAGACATTTCTTGAACACTCCCAGTGGTGGTGACTCCACCAGTGCCCTGGACAGCCTGTGCCAGTGCTGTAGAGCCCTTTCTGGGAAGGAATTTTTGCTGATATGCCGTGGCTTCCTGTGGGTTTAGCGATGGGAATGGCACAGAGGTTGTGATGGAGTCCAGGTGCTTGTCCTGGCTTTGGGATCCAGGATACATCCAGCTGCCTGGCAGCAGACATGGAATCACAGAATGTCCTGAGCTGGAAGGGCCCCCCAGGATCACCAGTCCAGCTCCTGGCCCTGCCCGGACACCCCAACAATCCCCCCCTGTCCCTCAGAGCGTTGTCCAAACCCTCCTGGAGCTCTGACACTGCCCTGGGGAGCCTGTTCAGTGCCAGCCACCCTCTAGGGGAAAACCTTTCCTGAGATCTCACCTGACCCTCCCTGGCACAGCTCCAGCCATTCCCTGGGTGATGTCACCAGAGAGAGGAGCTCAGTGCCAGCCCCTCCTCTGCCCCTCACAAGGCAGTGATGGAGAACATGGAAAACCACAGGAAAACTCTTCCCAGCTGACCCTCTCCTGTCTCCCCCTGTGGCTCAGGTACGTCCCCCTCAACAGCACGGTGACAGCCCCCCAGAACCTGCCCAACTACGAGAACACCGTCCTGTTCTGCGTCACGGGCTTCCAGTACCTCATCCTGGCCGTGGCCATGTCCAAGGGATATCCCTTCCGGGAGCCTCTCTACACCAACGGTGAGGGGGGTGCCACGT